TGAGGGAGGAGGATGGAGAACTTGTGGAGGCCGCCCAAGAATGTCCTGGCCGTAGCCCTTCCTGCTTCCCACGAGCAGTGCTCCCGCAACCTGGCCCCAGGGACTGGCCAGTAGTACGTAGGTGACGGCTCAGCGGGACGCAGGGCCGGGGGCTGAGAGAGGAGTGGGTACCGAGGCTGCCTCTTTTTGCCTTCAGTTCCCTTCCCAGTGCCAGGGCAGACACAACCAAGCAGTGGGCCCCTGGCGCGCACAGCCGGGGTTAGGCAGGGGCGGCTTCGAGTCTCCGGTTGTGTCGACACCCCAGGATTTCTAGTGGCCCCAATTCGCCCCCAGTTTCATTATTTTCATAATTATTCAGTAGCGGCTCAGTACAAACGCGTCCCAGGACAAGGCCCGTCCGCATAGCACCAGGAAGGAAACCAGCCTAAGTATCACTCCCAAAGCTGGGTCTGCGAGGGTCTCTGAGGCCAGGGCACGGCCAGAGGCCAGGGGGGCGCGCTGGGGGTAGAGGCAGGAAGCACCCACCCGGGAATCTCCTACACCCAAATCTAATGGGCCCCTTCTGCCCCTGTCTTTCTGCCCCTTTCACACTCACACACACGCACAATCCACTCAGCAAATAAAGAGATGAGAGTTCTTAACAGGAATCTTGTGAATTACGTGATATTCAAATTCAAATGATTTGAAATTCATTGTCCGCTGGAACAATGGTAACAAGGCCTGAGCTGGGGAGGAGCCGAAGGAAACAAGAGTCCTCCAGGGCAGTGCTGGCACATTTGCTTGCCAAGTTTTCCAGGTCCTGGCAGTCACAGATCTCCAGAGAAGCTGCCCACACTGGAGGGACCTCCTTAGATAGTGCGGTGTAATGAAAGTCCCCTGGGGCCTACCCTGACTGAAATATCAACCATCTTTAGACGACTGGAGATTCCTGAAGGTTATCTAGATCCTGTTTTAAAATGCAAATGTTAAGGGGGTCTCAGATGTGAGTCACTCACACCTCAGTAGGATTTAGTCTAAGTAGCTGGTCTTTCCCATCCATCAAGTTAGTGGTTCTAACGACATTGATATTTAAATGGAAAACCGGAAACTGGAAGGAAATAAAAGGTTTTCGGAGTAAGATCCAAATTTGGGGAAGCGCATGAAAAGCTGCAGAGGCTTTAGGTAAAAGGCCAGCAGTGGAAGAGGGGCAATGATCCCACCTCTACCAGAAGATGTGGCCATTGTGCCCCTGAGTTAATGGTTGCCAAGGTTTAAGAAAGAAAACCTAACTAAAAACTCAAGCAACTCTGTCCCTGCGGCGCCCGCGCCGCCCGCTGCCATCCCGAGCAGCGCGTTGGACGGGTCTCGGTCTTCCCGGAAAGTACCCAGAAAAGGAGAGACTGGAGGCAAGAGCGGCACGTTTTTAGGTTATTTTTTGTGTGTCCCCTTGAAACAACTGCCCCCGTAGGCGGGAGGCTTAGGCCCCCCCTAGGCAGGCCAAGGGCGCGGGCAGAAGTCCGGGACCCCTGGCTGCGGGATGCGCGCCAAGGGCAGAGGGGTGAACAGAGTCGCCTCCTGCAGGGTCCCCGGCACCTGGTGCGCAGCGGGAGTTCGTGTTCTCCCGACCACGCCGAGTCTGTCGAAGGGGACTCTTGGCTGCTCTGGGTTGAGCGTCGCGCGCTGAGGAGAAGCGGCTCTCCTCGACTCTGGGCGGGCGGGGCATCCTCTCCCCCTACAGGTTTGCTTTAATGATTTTCTTGAAAGAAAGAGACAGTTGTGAGCAAACAGGTTTGACAGGGACGGCTTCCCCCCCTCCCATACCTCCCTGCACACACCCTCCAGGGGATTTCTTTTTGTCTGCGCCTGACTTCAAAGTCAGTAATAGGCCCCTGTCATCGGCTTGACGACCAGGATTTGGGCTGTTTGTTGGGGCGAGTCGCCGCCGCGCACCTTGGCGAAGGCTCTGCGGCTCCCGGGCACAGGAGGCTGGCCCTTCGGGGCCGAGGCGGGGGGAGGGGTCGGGGGGGGGGCGGTGGGCAGCCTTATCGAGGGAAGACAGCAGGACAAAGCCCGACTGGGAAGGAAGGAGTTGAGATGTGCTAGACAGAAACGGCCAGAGCCAGGTCCGCGGCGTTAGGTCCCGGAACCTACGCTGGGTCTCCTACTCTCTCCTGGCTGGAAAGAAGTCTCAGTTGCCCAGCCTTGGGCACACGAATACCTCCCTGCTACAGTGCACCCTGATTTTCTGCAGCTCCCTTCAAAGTCCCCAAGTCCAGGCACAAATTAGAACCCTGGTTTTAGTTTTCCAGCTTGCGCCGCCTCCCGAAGCTTTTCCCACTAGCACCCACCTGATGCCCCTTCCCAGCCTAAGCCTGCCTCGGGGTCGGCTGGGTGCCCTTGTTGGGCCGAGTGCTCTGGGTTCCTCCCGGGCTCCGGCACTCTGTTCATCCGGGGCGCTGAAGCACTGGGCTCTGCGGGGAGACACCCACACCCCTGTAAGCTTCATCTTAGAATATGTTAAGGGACACTGAGCTATGAGGGAGATCAGAGCTGCTGACAGCACTGTCAGTTGGGGTTATATCAGACAGCAAAACCGCAGCACCTCCACCCTAGGTCTCCTGGGCTTCCTAGAGGGAGGAGGGGAGGAGGGCCTTCCCTAAGCTCCCCGAGCCCCCGGACCGGATGGCCACCAGAGGCAAGTCACTTCCTAATTGTCTCGATTTGTAAGAGGGTTTTGTGATGCTAAATAAGCGTGGCAGAGCCTGCCTGGCCTCCCCCCTACAAGTCTCCCAGCCCGCCTTTGTTTACCTTCTCCTGATCGCTCATTTATTTATCTATCTATTATTTATAGGCGTCCCCTCCTATTCAGCGCCCGTGTATGTTAATTTTGTTATACCATTTAATTCTAACATCGGTCTCAAAAGAGCTCTTAATGAGAAAAGCATATACAACACGGATCACTTTGCTATTCAGCTCAGCCAGATGGACAACTGCTAACTTTCTTTTTTTTTTAATAATGAAAATCCCCCTTTGACAAAGGGGCTCGGATGAATAGGCTCCAAATAACACCTCAAACACTTCTAATTGTTTTGAGGACAATATGCTAATCCTTGGGTTTCGGCTTTGGTGTCTGTTGACAGCGTTTCCCTTGCACTTCAGCCACTGGCTCCTTTGGAAACGGCAGAGGCAAGCGCACAAATCCCACAGCAGCGGCAGAAAGCAGACGCAGACGCGCGGCTAGGATGCCCCCACCCCCATCCCGCACCAAACCAAAGCCAATGGGAAAAGCACCGGACCTAACAAACAAACAAAAAACAAAAACAAAAACATTTGCGTGAGCACAACTTTGGGAATGAGAATGTGGGAAGACGGGGGCTGGAGGAGGACCCTTGGATTTGGAGAACAAGTTCCAAAGAGTTTTGCTGAAAGGTATCAGAAGGTCCTTTTCCCCATAAAAAACAGCAATGTTCAAGTTAACTTTCACCCAGCGGGGAAAGAAAAGGGTTCTTTTCCTTTTTGGTTAAACAACGAGGGCAACAGAGTTATGACTTTTATGATAATGACTGTGTCACTGTCACCTTCCTTTTTTCCTTTGCTCCTGCAGGGTCTTAGTAAATAGGCTCCCACTGCATTGCTTAGGCTTTTATTTTTTAACTTAGGAACCAGTGTCGAGTCCCAAATCCCCAAAAGAGCCAGCAGCAGCGTTTTCAAACACCTTTTTAAAAAAAGTGGATTCCGCCAGTCTTCCCCTAATCATTGAACTTAAACACACATCGCAGGATGCGGTGCTCTAGGCGCAACTGGTTCCCAGCCGACTTGCGAGTCTCTCTGTTCCTTTGGAATTTGGTTTTAAAAATGAAAACGCACCCAGGTCTCAGAGGTCTGGATCGGCCTTTGTCTTAGCTCATTCGCTCCTCGAAGTGGTCTGACCACTTTGTGAAGAACGTTAGGGATGGAGTGACATCCTAGGGAGAGACACCTTTGGCCAGCTTCTAAAGGCAAAAAGCAGATCCAGAGGATATGATTGGGACAAATTGCAGACTCGAGTCCCGTTTGCACCCTGTCCCCGAAGACCATCACGCTGGCCAACGCAGGCCAGCCGACAATCGCCAGTGCTTGAGTTGCTCTGTGTACGCTCAGTCTCCCAGCGACCTGCCCCCCACCCCAGACCTGGCCTTCTGACTTCAGATTTTATGCACATCAAAGGTTACTTTTTGCAATGACAGATTGTCTTTATTCAAAACGTCTTTGTTCAACAAATGAACAGAATAAAGAGATAAAATCCATTTCCAAGACATTGTCAAAACATTTATGACCATTTAGGATGTTTTTATTCTTTTAATTTTTGTTCACTTTCTACTTCCTGACTTCATAACCTGACATTCTGTCTAAAAGTAAACTTAGGTCTCTAGGAGCACTGCTTTATACAAAGTAAATAACGATGTGGGTTCTTTTATCTTTAAAAAAGCAAACACTATCATAACATGATTTTAAATAGAAATGTTTCCCTTTCTGTAGTTTTAAACTTTTAAGCCTTTCCCCCACACATGAAGAGCAAATGGCACCTAGTTGTGTTGTGTCTGATGGCAAAACACAGAGCTAACTCTTTTCTTCGGGGTGCAAAAGAAAAAAATATATGCATATTCTAGATATAATACCAGGATCTGAGAGTTCTGGAGTCCAAAGCCCATCAGAGGAGAGAGAATAGGACATAAATAAAGCAAACTGCCTGCTTTTTTTTGTCCAAAGGTACAGTTGGAGATTTGATTTGGGACAGTTGGGGAAGGGGCAACTGTATAGCGGTCATAACGTTCCCAAGTTTCTGGCACCTGTCTGCGCCTTGGGTGCGGCAGGACGCCCCTACCATCCCCTTGGAAGAGAGAGGCAGAGTCTGGGGTTGGGTAAAGGGCAGCGCAGCAGGGATGGCCCCGAGGCGTCTGCAGGCCCCGGCCAGGCGCAGAGGATGGGGTGCAAACCCCGATTCCAGGCCGCCCTCCAGGTCTGGCGGGCCCGGCCGGGGGTTACATGGCCGTGGCGTGGGCTGACGAATAAGGGTCTATGCCAGTCTTGGTCATGCCCGGGAAGAGGATGTAGGCGACAGGGGGCTGCAGGGTGGAGGCAGACCAGGCGGTACAGTTACAGGGCACCACGTAGCCCGGGTTGGTGGGGGACGGGTGCGTGTGCGTGTGCTGGCTGGGGCAGCCGAGGCTGCCGAAGGCGCCGTTCTGGTAACCCAGGGTGGATGCGTAGGGCAGCGCGCCGGTGGCCAAGGTGTGGGGCACTTCGCCCATCTTCTGGATGGCGCTCGAGCTAAACTGCGCGGGGTCCAGCAGGGAGTAGGGCGCCGAGGCGGGCGGCAAGAAGGCCCGGGCTTTCTCGGGCGCGCTCAGGAGGCCGTCGGAGGCCCCCACGGGCAGGCCGGCCGCCTTGAGCGGGTCCGTGTCGCCCAGGTAGGGCAAGGGGAAGACATACCTGTCCTTCTTAAGCAGGTTCTTGGGCTTTCGCCGCGGCCGGTATTTGTAGTCGGGGTGCTCTTTCATGTGCTGCGCGCGGAGCCGCTTAGCTTCGTCGATATAGGGCCGCTTCTCTGCCTCCGACAGAAGCTTCCATTCGGCGCCTAGGCGTTTGCTGATTTCTGAGTTGTGCATCTTGGGGTTTTCCTGGGCCATCTTGCGCCTCTGGCCTCGGGACCATACCATGAAGGCGTTCATGGGCCGCTTGATGTGGTCTGAAGGTTTGGACATGGTCCCGGAGGCTAGGCGGGTGGGGGTGGGGAGTGCTGCAGGGGTTCTGCAGGCAAGCTGGACGCGGTTGTCTGTCTGCCTGTCTGTCTGTCCTGAGCCGGAACTCTGCGCTCCCCTCGCCTCCGCACTGCTGAGGGGAAGCCAGAGAGAAGCGCTAACCTCGCAAAGTTCAGCTGATCATGCCAGTCTTCGCACCCAGGCAGGCCCCGAGGGGCGAGTGGGGACAGGAAGGGTGGGGGAGGAGAGGGTGGCCGGCCGTGGGGGCTGCCGACACTCGCTGGGGCGCAAATACCGGAGTCTCTGGGATTATATGGCCAGGTAATTTGCTGGTGAGGGCAAGAAGCTCCTCCTTCTCCCCCTTTCCACTTTTGCTTTCTCTAGTTCTCTTCTCTCTTGTGTCTACGGCCGTGGCTCCCTCCCCCCACCCGTGGCTTTCCCGGAGCTGCCTTGCCTAGCGCAGCACCTGGCTGAGAATGCGGGGAGGCTGGTGAACAAGAGCCAAAAGCGGCGAAGTTCAAAGGCGAGGTGGGCCGGGACGGCACGCACTCTGACATAAGCGTGGGGCGGCGACTCCCCAACCTCGGCTCCAATCAGCGGCAGAGAAGGCGAGGGGGCGCACCTGCCAGCGCGCCCGCCAAGGCAAGAGGGAGCGCGACTGGTGGGGGCGGGGAGAGGTATGAGGGAGAGACTGAGGTGCAGAGAAGACGGCGGCCAGCTCAAGACTGGGGACTTGGATTCCGCGTTGTTTCTGGCACTGTCAACAAATAAAACTCTTTGTGTCTGTTGTCTTTCCCGGTTTGCAAAAGAGAATTAAAGCTTGGAATACAAAGACCCGGGGAGGAGGTAGCAAAGGGAGCGAGCAGGGAGCGCATGTGGATAAATAGAGCAGCATCGTCACGAAATGCCAGGACAGCACTTTACCCCCTCCCCGCCCCCTGTCAAAGATCTTTGGAAGAGAAAAAGAATACATCAAACTCGGGTTAAAAAGCGAAATAAACTTTTCGCGCCATGCCCTCGGCAGTTCTTGGGCTGCGGTCTCACGCGATGTCCCTGCGGCGCCGCCTCCACCCCTGCCCCCGGGGTGCGGCGCCCGGACTCAGCGCTGGGCCCCGGGCTAGCTCCGCGGTGCCTTCCCAGACGCTGCCTGAAGGCCTCGAGTCCTGCAGTGCAGAGGTCTCAACCCGGGCCGGTGAGCATTGAAGAACACTGCGATCTGCTCATCACTTCCTTGGAGGGGGCGGGAATGAGATTTCCATCACGAATCCTATTTTTGTTATTCTTATTTAGTGTTTTTAAACCTCCAACTTTCCCTCCACATCTCCCAACACAGGAAAGGCAGCCTGGAGGCTAGCAGGTGCGTAGCAGGGAGTGTGTGGGGCTTTCCAGTTGCCCCTACTGCAGCGGCCTTAGAGCAGAGTCTCAGGCTGTATCCGCACCCAGGGCTGGTTGGTCCCTGGGTGCCTCTTCCCAACCAGGGAGAACGCGAGACTCATTTCTTGAGTCAGATGAGCATTTTCGGGTAAAAAGGACGAAATAACCCGCAGAGCAGACCTGCACGCATGTTTCCTTTGAATAATTGCCTGCCCGATGTGAAATGCCCTTGGGGGAAATATTTATTAAATGGAAACCATTGTCCCGGGTCCAGCAGGACCTGCGTGTGTTCCAGGCTTATTGGCTTTTGCACCAGCCTCTCTCGGGAGGACCGACCAGAAACGTGCACCGCTCCGCGCGCTTGGAGGGGTTGGGGGTGGGGGAGAACCAGGCAGAGGACGAGGAGGCTGGGAGAGAGGGTTTTTCTTTAGCATATAGTGTGTCAAGTTTGAGGTGAAGTCTTTGCTTCTCCTTATACTTAGAAAGACGCGTGGCGTTTCTCTTATTAGCGCGCTCTTCAGAGAGGTGGACGCTATGCCCATTTTACAGATTAGGAAACTAAGGTTGAGAAAGGCTAAGTAATCTGCAAAAAGTGACTCCAGTGGGAAGTGGTGACCCACAGGATTTGAACATCCTAATTTTTTTTTCTTCTACCTTACACGGCGCCACTTCGGATTTGCTGGTGCTGCAGCTAAACGCTGAACTCACAACGAGACTGTTGGAGCCGTCGAAACCAGCCACGCAGATAAGCCGCGTTGGAAAGCTGATTGCCCTGCTTGTTCTTGATTGACCCAGGCTCTGATCGGACCCTGGCCTCCTTCAGCGTACTCCTACACCTCGCACCAAGGGCTCCACCTCCGCGTGGGCTCGCGAGCGCGTGCACGGTCTTTATCTTTCTCTCAGCCCCAGTCCTGACCTCCATCCTGCCCTCTACCCCTGTTTTCTCTGCAAGTTTCATTTGGCTTGGGGAACCAGAAAGTGGAAGCACTTTTCAGCCCAGTCCCGGGAGGGTTTCCAAGAGTCACAGGCAACTCTTACCTAAGTGGAACTAGCCTGCAGAATGAGCCTAGTTCTCAGAGCCTGGATCAAAAGGTCCAGGGGTCAGGAGATTCGAGTTCGAACCGGAAATCTGGGCAGTGCTGGGAAGGAATGACAGAAATTCTCATACCCGCAGAGAGGTCTAGCATCGGCGGGGAACCGCAAAACTCTCGCGCTGGATCCCTCAGGGAACACTAAACCCACACACAGAGGTTTGGGTTAATGCAAACCAACCTCTTGGAAACTGCTCAAAGACGGGATCTGGAACAGGATCGCAGACCCTTTCTCTCTTCCCAGCTTCCAGGCACCTCTTTCGGATTGCCCTGAGACAGCTCTGCAGACCGTCCTTCAGTTTCTCAATTCTTCCTCCTATTGCCGGGCTTCTCTCTAAACATCTCGCAGTCAACTCTAGCTCTCCGTTCAAGAGTCTGGAGCAGATCAGTACTAAGGGCTTGAAATTGTGGGGTGGCAGTTATTGCGCCGCTGGGCACAGCCTGACTTCCTAGGGTTCCGCAGCCCCAGGGTACCTGGGTCAGAATGCATTGACCCTGGCGGGCACCAGCATCCCCCTGCCCTCCTTGGCCTTGAGACTTGAACTCAGCGCTGAGAGGGAAATCCGGGCCGGGTCGGGCCTGGCTTCATGGCGTCTCCTAAATCAACAGCGCAGCCTCATGCACCCCTGACATAGAGCTAGTTGGAGATGGGTTTCTTCAGGACTCCTTAGAATTCCCATGAACCCGGGGTCTGACCTGGTGCTGTCTTCAGCCCATGCTTCTACCTTCTTTTGCGCTGTGCATCTCTCTGAGCTCTGTCTCCCTGCCAGGCCTAGGCAAGGAGGCAGAAATCCTGGAGAGAAGGCCCCTGGGGAGAAGCAGCAGCCTTGGTAATCGCGGAACAAGCCTTAGGACAGAGGTGGTATACTCGCACCTCTTACTTTATCACAGCTCAAAGCTGGGGCCTTTGGCCACCAGGCCACCCTCCAGAGCTGAGACATCCCTGAGACATGGCCTCCTCGCTTCTGCATTTGCCTAGAGCATAGGGGGACAGCCTCAGCACACCTCTTTACGCAAAGCAGTTACTCAAGACTTGCAGCGTGCTCCCCTACTCCTGGTATCTGGACTCCTGAGCTACAGGGATTCTGACTGCAAACCCACATGGTTCCTGTAGAAGTGAAGGAGAGGTCGCCACCCTATCTACTTCTCGCACCAGCCACTCTGCCCAGTGCCTCAGTAAGGCCCAGCATGGGTGTTCTTCGCTTTTGTCTCTGGGCTTTTGCAGGGAGACTTTCCCCTCTCCTTTGGCCCAACTTATGTGTACCTCAGATCTCTTTAAAGGCTTTCACCTCCTCTGTGGAGTCTTCTTTCATTTCCGAGCTGGGCTAAGACCCCTCCTATATTCTCACTTATATACCCTCTCCTTCTCATGTCCGCTTCCCCAGACTGCTGTGGAGTCCTGTAGCAGCCCGTGCAATCCTCCAGACTTCGAGCTCCTCGAAGGTTATTCATTTTGGAGCGCGCACAACTATGAACGCACAGAAGACGCTCAGTATTTTCCTTCTGTTTAGGCTTAAACTTGTCCTACGGGGACAGGACCCCAGACGCAGCTTGGTAGAGCCAAGTGCAGAAGGCTCCGGGCTCCCAGGTCTGTAACCACCTGCCTGGCCTCAACGCTCTCCCCTCCTTCCAGCCACCACCCACTTCTTTCTAGTGGACAAAAAGTCTCTGCTCCCAGGCCTCCAGGAGTGAGCGGCAGCCGAGAGCGCAGAAGGAAGGTGCACAGACCAGGGCTTGGAGTACAGGGCGGGAGCTTGCGGAGGGCGGGGGGGGGGGGCGGTTAGGTGGGTGGTGGTACGGGAGAGGAGAGGACGTTGCCACGTGGGTTGAGCCCAATGGTTTTTCGGAAGAGTGCAGGAGTCGCCCGCGTCTTTAGGGGCCAAGGTGCTGGGTGCTCGCGGGACGCCGGTCCTGCTGGGCACCTGCGGGGTTCCGGAGGACCTGAGGGAAGTTCCAGATGCCGGTTTTGGGGAGCCTACGCGCAAGCAGCCCCGGTTTCAGCTCCCCGCTGGGAATGTGAGCTGAAAGCACAGTGATGTTCCGCTGCAGGAGCGTTAACCCCGCCCACCTCTGAACGTTTACAATCCAGAAGACAACATTGAATGATAGAATGCCCTTGGGCAATGACGCAATTGGGTTAAATCATAAACTTTTCATTTTCTTATCAGCGAAAATATTTTAATATTTAGCTACCCTGCTTTTTCTCTTTTTCCCTGTTTTCTATTTTCAAAATTAGAGACCTCATGTATCCCTTCTCTCGAGAGTGACCGGAAGGATCCAGGGCTCTGGTCCTGTTATTTCCTGGCAAATGTTCGATGGTCTTCCCTTCAGAACTCAGCCCAGTCCACTAGGAAAGTTTTGAAATTTTGTAAAACTCCACGCGACCCTCGCACAGATCGCACAGGAGGGCGCGGCTTCCAGCAAGAATCAATGAGAAACAACAAACTTTGGTCCCAGGACGAACGCCTGGAGAGCCTGCAACAGAGTGCGTTTGCCTACTCAGAGCTACCAGAGCTCTTGGCTGGGCTGAAGAACACT